TCCTGTGGTCTTGGGATCGACTCCCACATGGGGCTCCTGCATTGAGCCTGCTTCTTCCTCTGCCTCTCTCTCGTGAATAAATAAAATCTTAAAAAAAAAATCTTTTAAAAAAAGAAGATAGTGTCTGTGATTATACAGATATATTCATATTTTTAAAAATTTTATTTATTTGAGAGAGAGGGAAAGGCATGCAAGAGAGAGCACAAGCAGTGGAGAGGAAGAAGAAGACTGCCCATGGAGTGGGGATCCTGATGCAACGTCCATCCCAGGACCCTGGGATCACAACCTGAGTTGAGGGCAGACACTTAACTGACTGAGCCACCCAGGCGCCCCTAGATGTGTTATTTTTTTTTAAGTTGAATAAATATAGAGTTATATGTATGAGGTTTTTTTTAAAAAAATCTAAAACATATATTAGTTTACAAAGTATAGGCATGCCTTTTCTCTAATTGCAACAGTAGGGAAGGATGAGTAGAAGAAATTGGAAATCAGCCAAGCAGTCCTGGAAGAAAATATTAACTATACCAAGAACAGAAAGAACTGCTCCACATCATTTGTCACACATAACAATTGGGTAGAAAGGAGATCCAACATTTAATCAGGAGTGGGGCAAAATGATCAAGTAGAAAAATAATTCCATAATATGTTTCACAATGAGAATATGCTAAATGTCCTGAAGATAGCTAATTTCCCCTCCCTGTCTCATGAAAGGTGAAAACTTTCAATGATCCTATTAATTGTAACAAATGAATGAGACCAAATCAGATTACAAAAAATGAACAACCTAGCTGAATATGTAATGATAAGAAACTGGATTCTGTAAGGTGGCCAAATGATACCTAAAAACTACATCATTTCAGGAAAGGTATTAGGTTGCATTCTGTGAATGGCAAGGATTTGAAAGGTTTTATCAGCGTATGAAAGGAGAGCCAGCCAGGAGGCACAACCAAGCCTATGACCCAACTAAGATTTAAATTGGTTGAAACCCCAGCTGGTCTAAATAACATGCTTTTTCTTTTGGTTTTATATCTAGGACAAAATAGAATCAAGTCTCTATAATATTACTGTACCCCAGGGCTGCCACTGCTTCTTTGACACCGTGTACCAATAAGAAAAAGACATCTATCTCTTCAGGTAGCCCCTGGAAAGATAGCTTTTAAAAGCAGAGTGAGAGCTGTAGTTCAGGCCTCCCTTCCCCCTTTGGCCAGGCGCCCTCGTGCAAAGCACAGCCTGCATAGGTCTGCTGTTCCTTTTAGGAAGTTTTAAGAAATAAATGTGGTAAAATTACTGCCACCCCAGAAAGGTATAAGGATAAGAATCACAGAGACATTAACTTCAACCTGTGGTAATGGTATGTTAGTAGCAACCTAAGTATCAATTTTGTCATTATTGTGAAATTTTGTGCATATTGTTTGCTTCTAAACATAAACTTAATAATTTCAATTAATATTGTCAGACTGTTGATAAAATAAGGTTTGTGATCAATGCTTAAATGTCTGGGAAAGTTGCAGTTGTTAAGTTTAAACATTTTGATTTCCTAGTTGTGTTCAGTGTTTACAGGAATTTTATTTCATAGACATGAAAGATTAAAAATTTGGGCATCAAGGTAAGTATAAATTGGAGTGTTCCTCTTTTCACACGTGTCCCTTAGAGTGTGGACATTTAAGATCTAAGTAGTAATAGAGGAAATGGAAATAAAGTCACAATGAGGGGGGCGAGAAAAATATTAAGAAAAGGAGGACAGAAGGATGATATTAAAGGCAGAGAAAGGGAGAGGACAGTAAAATGTAAGAGACAAAAGCAATAGGAGAGCAGAGGAATTCAGAGGGCTCTAAAGGGTTAATGTAGGTCAACTGCTTATTTCATACACGGTTTTTACCTCTTTGTTCTTTTTTTCTAATTTTTTTTCTTTGTTCTTTAATATCTGGTTTACTTTTCAAGTGTTTATTAAAAAAAGGTGGGGGGGGGGGCAGCCCGGGTGGCTCAGTGGTTTAGCGCTGCCTTCAGCCCAGGGCCTGATCCTGGAGACCTGGGATGGAGTCCCTCGTTGGGCTCCCTGCATGGAGCCTGCTTCTCTTTCTGCCTCTCTCTCTCTCTCTCTCTCTCTCTCTCTCTGTGTCTTAGGAATAAATAAATAAAATCTTAAAAAAAAAAAAAAAGCTTCCTCTAAAGAAACTGTTGACTTAGAAATAAAATCAAGATATGCAGCACTGGGACAAAAGTCCTTTAAGAACCCTGAGAGTCAGGGGATCCCTGTGTGGCTCAGTGGTTTGGCACCTGCCTTACGTCCAGGGTGTGGTCCTGGGATCCTGGGGTCCCGGGATCAGGACTGAGTTCCGGGATCAGGATTGAGTTCCGGGATCGAGTTCCGCATCAGGCTCCCTGTGTGGAGCCTGCTTCTCCCTCTGCCTGTGTCTCTGCCTCTCTCTCTCTCCCTCTGTCTCATGAATAAATGAATAAAATCTTAAAAAAAAAAAAAAACAAACCCGAGAGTCCTCCCAAAACTTTCTTTATACTTGGAATATCTTGGTACCTCCATGATTAGCCCTTTGGGCCCAGACAAGAGCATCTGACCTTTTCCTTTATATCATATAGCACAGATGAAACCAGGTTTGACTATCAAAATTAGGCTTTCCTAAAGACTAGGATCTATAGGGACTATACCTGAAAAATAACATGAAATCCAATTATCTGGTTTATAAAACCTGGATTATTCTCTTCTGGTGATCCATTCCTACTCCCTGTCTCTTCATGGTGGGCACCATCTTAGTGCCCATCACCCAGGTGATCACAGCTGCAAGGCTACCTTTCTCAACGTACAGGATCCAGGGTCTTACATGATGCCTACCCTTCAGGCCTATAAACTACATATCGTAATAACTCTAACATTCACCCAAGAGATACACACAGATAATAATAGATCTCTTCCATCAAGGGCCCCTCTGAACTACCAGTGAGTAGCCCCCTGGAGAGTAGATTATTCTCTAGGACAGTGTGATATTAACCCCAGATAAAGCCAAACCTTAGTATGGGATATGATGAAAAGAGAAGCAAGCATTGGGAGTTCAAGGGACTTTAGTCCTTGACCCATTCTGTGACCTTTAGATAACTTTTTAAGAAGATTTTTATTTATTTATTCATGAGAGACAGAGACAGGGGCAGAGACACAGGCAGAGGGAGAAGCAGGCTCCCTGCAAGGAGCCCAATGTGGGACTCAATTCCGGACCCTGGGATCACACCCTAAACCAAAGGCAGATGCTCAGCTGCAGAACTACCCAGGTGTTCCTAGATAAATTATCTTATCTTTAGAGGCTTTATTTGTATAATAGGGAAAATAGAACTCATCTCTAAAGGATTAGGATTAGAATAAAATGAATTAGCTGAAGTGCTCTGAAAAAGTATAAACCCTTAAACAATTCTTTAAAAAAACTTTTTTAAACTCTTACAAAAACAAAAGAGCTACATTATTCCAGAGTCTCCATAATCTTTTCCACCAACTGTTGCCAGGCCATTCTCCTCACCTGATCTTTAACCCACTTCAATTTGCAGACTAGAGGATTTGAATTAAAGGCCCTCTAAAATCTTTTAAAGCCCTGGAAGTATATAGGTATCCCATTGGATACACAAAACTGAGTAAAACCCAGCAAAAACGATAAAACTCGGCAATGATGGAATATCATATGACAAGTTTATACAGCTCTCCCTCAACTTCCATCTGCATAAAGTTTTGGAAGCATTATTCTGGGTATCCCGTCTGTCCAACTTTGTTACCAATCATAAAACATTTATCGAGCACTACAAAGCGGAAAAATACTGGCTGGAGGCTACGATACAGCTACTGTGGTGGTCTCCAAACTAAAGTGGCAGGTAGTTTGGAGGATGTTAAAACTTGGGTCTTTGCCATCCCTGGACTGGAGTTCAAATTCTATTAACTTGCTGTATGATAGCCTGACAAGTACTTTTTGCTTTTCGAAGCCGGTTTCCTCTCTGATAAAGTGGGGGCAAAATAGAGTACCTACTCCTTAGGGTCAAGTTCAAATGACATAATTCATGCAAAGCACAGTTTCTGCCACAAAAGTACTTGGTAAAAGAGCCGTGGTCTGTGTGTGTGAGCGCAGTGCGGAGAGACGACGAGCGTGGGATTTCCAGAACACCCCAGCCAGCAAAATACACTGCATGTTGCAGAGCTGTTTCACTTTCTCCCTTTGAGACGCAAACCTCCCCCTTTGCTTCCTCCTCAGTGCCAGGCACCGTTTCGTGATCCCAAAGTCTCAGAGTCCTTCAAGTATAAAGACAGTAACATTCCCACTGCTCAATCACGGATTTACGGGGAACGCTGTATTAGCTAAGGGGCCCCTTTCAATCAGTCACTCCCCTTAATTCTCACTCTTTTCACCGCGTTTAAGGAACAGCGCTTGGAGACCCGAGTAAATGAAGACAACAACGCAAGCCACACTTTGCCAAATAGAACTTAAATGTGGACTGATCTTGCAATTGCTAAGAATGAAACCCCTATAGCGTACTTTGAAACCTTTTTTTAAAAGATCCTAATAACGTTATTATTCTGTTGGGCTTGAAATAAGAGACTCCCCCCCCCACCCCCCCAAGGTCAGTGGCTGAGGAGGCATCCGTGGCCTTGAGGTTTCCAGGTTTCTTTCTCCCGCCCCCATCCCCTTTTCCAAAATCCGCCTCGATCTAGCACTTGGACCCCTGCCTTCAGGGCAAGGTGCGGGGGCGAGAAGGGAGCAGGGTGGGGGAGGTCGGGCTGAAACGGAACTTCATTGTTCGCGGGACCGACTTCCCGAAAGAGCCCGTTGGCAGCGCCTGCGCAGTGCACGCTCTTTGTGCGGGGCTGCAGCAAGCTGGTTGTTTGTGTGTGTCTCTTGGAGGCGGGGGAGGGAGCGCCGGGGGGCGTGGCCTGCGCTGCCGCATCCTGATTGGGCTCTCGGGAGGAGGTGGGCGGGCGAAGGGCGGGGCTTCGGATAACAACACTCGGCGCTGAGGCTGAGGCTATTTGTTGCTGCGCCGCCACCGCCCGAACCATGGTCCGCGCTCCACTCGGGCTCTCTTAGCAGCAGCCGCCGCCGCCGCCGCCCTGCAACCGCTGGCTTCTCGTCCTCCTTTTCTTCTCGCTGAGCCACTTTCCTCCTAGAGCTATGACCGTCGTCTCCGTCCCGCAGCGGGAGCCACTTGTCCTGGGCGGCCGCCTTGCGCCCCTGGGCTTCTCCGCCCGCGGTTACTTCGGAGCTCTCCCGATGGTGACCACGGCCCCGCCGCCTTTACCCCGAATCCCGGACCCCCGGGCACTGCCCCCCACCCTCTTCCTCCCTCACTTCCTTGGCGGAGACGGTCCCTGCCTCACCCCGCAGCCTCGCGCCCCAGCGCCTCTGTCCAACTGCGGTCTGGCTCCGGCGGGAGGCACCTCTCGGGCAGCGCCAAAGAAGCGGCGCAAGAAGAGGGTGCGGGCCAGCCCGGCGGGGCAGCTGCCCAGCCGCTTCCATCAGTACCAGCAGCACCGGCCGAGCCTCGAGGGCGGGCGGGGCCACGCGACGGGCCCGAGCGGAGCGCAGGAAGTCCCGGACCGGGCCTCCAGCGTGGCCCCGGGTCCTGCGGCCGCAGCCCAAACGGAGGAAGCGAGCCCGTTCCCCGGCCAGCTGCCGCCCCCGGCGCCCGGCCAGCCCTCGTTCAGAAGAGAGGTAAGGGCCGCGAAGGGGGACATGGGGGCTGGTGGGGGAGTTCTGGCCCTTAGGCAGCCCCCGCCGGGCTCTGGAATTCGGGGCCCCGCACTGAGGGGTCGGCAAGGGGGGGGGCCGGGGTGAGGGGCGGCTGTTTACTCGGGAGGGAAGTTTCCGTGACGCCCGCTCGGTTCCAGCCCGGGAAGGGGGGGAGGGGGAGGCATGCGCTGGCGCCGCTGATTGGCTCCCGGGACTCAGCCAATGGGAGCCGCGGCTGCGCCCCAGCAACAGCCCCGATTTAGAAGGCTGGCGGCGTTCCAGGGGGTTTCGGCGCTCGGGCGCGCGGCGGGGGGGGGGGAGGGGGCCCGCGGGAGGCTGACGTCAGCGCGCTACGTGCGCCGCGCTCCGGCGCTCATGAAGGAGGCGAGGCCGGGGAAGGGGCGGGCGACCGCTCTGGGCTCCCCGACGGCGGGGCGCTCGAGACTAGGCGGCGCGCGTGCACGGCCTCGGCCGTGTTGTGGGTCTTGGAGTGGGCCGCGGGCGGCTGCAGTCGGGCTGGCCTTCCGCCGGGCAGCGGTGCCCGGGGTGCGGCTCTGCCCCCGCCGCCACCCTTCTCAGCTGTACTTTTTCTTTTTCTTTTTTTTTTTTTTTTAACTCAAGAAGTTGGCAGGGACGGCTGCACCTGCAGTTCCTGCCTCTGGGACGAGAGCTTTTGCGTGCTCGCCTAGCAGATGAATACGGAGTTGCTGACTTTCAGTCTGTACTGTCCTGGGTTTTGCTGATGGGAGGTAGTTTTCTTGAGTCCAGAACGATGAAACTTTTCTCTAAAAAGCTGTAAGTTAGGGTTGATTGACGTCGAAGCCACTCAGTCGCCGCGCTGATAGGTCAGGATAAGATCCGCACTAACGAGATTAAGTCGCTAACGAGATCTTGAAATTGATCTGGGTAGCAAAATAAAACCTGCCAATTTCAAAGCCTTAACGGTCTCAAGAAATGAAAGGGAGTGACAGGCATTCCTCGTTGGACGAATGCTGGAGGGATCGGCAGCTCCTCGCTAGACAGGCATGCCTTCGGCAGAAAATCCGACTCGATCGCCGTGATTACCTAAATAATAAGTACAGTTTTAAGATTCCAGGGCTCTGAAACCGTGTCCGATAGGCCGTCTCCTTTTGGAGGCTTCTTGGTTCCTGGTTAAAAGTAATCTTTCTCCGGCAGTTATTGACCTGGAGTGTTACCGTGGGCCCCCAGGTACTTGTATTCTTGTCCGGCTTCCCTACCGCAGTACGAGTGTGAGCAGGGCGGTGAGCGAGTGAATTACTTTTTACTCCTCCATCCGGTCATGGCTTCCTGTAAGGGTCACTAGTTAGGGAAAGGAGTTAGAAGTGGTGCGGCAAGGTTGTTTTTTAAGATGTTATTTATTCATGAGACACGCAGAGAGGCAGAGACACGGGCCGGGGAGAAGCAGGCCCCATGCGGGGAGCCCCATGTGGGACTCGATCCCGGGTCTCCAGGATCAGGCCATGGGCTGAAGGCGGCGCTAAACCGCTGAGCCACCCGGGCGTCCTGAGCGGCAAAGTTCGTAAAGGCAATTGTTAAAACAAGAGGTAGGGACAGGTGGAAACAACTTTTTTTAAAGATTTTATTTTATTCATGAGAGAGACAAGAGGCAGAGACATAGGCAGAGGGGGAAGCAGGCTCCACACGGGGAGCCCCATGTGGGACTCCATTCTGGGATTCCAGGATCACGCCCTGGGTCAAAGGCCCAACCGAGCCACCCAGGTGTCCCGGAAAGTTTTAATTTTAAAGTTGCTGCTATATGTGTAGCTGGAAAAGATGATAAAAAGTGATTAGTAGTACTTAGATTTATGAAATTTTGTTTTCAGAAGCCGGGAGATAATTTTTCTGTGTAGTTAGTAGCCATTATCAAAACACTTAAAATCTAGTTCCTGCTAATCAAATTTTTATTCTGGAATAATTGTTTTTTAAACTTTCTTTCCTGGAGAATTTTAAAAGGATTTGACTAAAAGATAAACAGTAATCTGTGAACATCCTCTTGGCCACATCTTACTGTTTGGAAAGCAGCTTATTTTACTCTTTAGTTATAGAAAGATGAACTTGGGTTACTTTGGGTTTCTTTCCCTGTGACACTTCTGACTCTCTACATTCATATTGGTGGTGGTAGTAAAACTTAGATGTGTGCTTATTTGGTAAGTGCAACGAGCCCACGGTGAAGCAAGGCAGTAAACTGAAGTCCAGAAGAAGAAAACATTAGGTATATGGTGTGAAGTTTGTGACTAATTTTTATGAGCCTGTATTCACTTTTATGTTCCTTCCTTGTCTTTGTAGGTTTTAAAATCAAAGATGGGAAAATCGGAGAAAATTGCCATTCCCCACGGCCAGCTTGTTCATGGTATACACTTGTGTGAACAACCAAAGATAAACAGACAGAAAAGCAAATATAACTTACCACTAACCAAGATCACCTCTGCAAAAAGAAATGAAAATAACTTTTGGCAGGATTCTGTTTCATCCACTTTAATTCAGAAGCAGGAAAAAAAGCCTTTTAAAAACACTGAGAATATTAAAAATATGCATTTGAAGAAATCAGCATTTCTAACTGAAGTGAACCAAAAGGAAAATTATGCTGGGGCAAAGTTTAGTGATCCACCTTCTCCTAGTGTTCTTCCAAAGCCTCCTAGTCACTGGATGGGAAGCACTATTGAAAATTCCAACCAAAATAGGGAGTTGATGGCAGTACACTTAAAAACTCTCCTAAAAGTTCAAACTTAGATCTCAGATTGCAATGTCTGTCGGGTTTCAAAATCTCTGGACTCTTAAAGAAAATTGGTACAGAAATGAAAATTTGCCTTGTAACTTACAAGTGCAAAAGATGAGTTGAAAAAATTACAACCAACAACTTGTATTATATTTTATATTTTGTAAATACTGTATACCATGTATTATGTGTATATTGTTCATACTTGAGAGGTACATTATAGTTTTGTTATGAAAGTATGTATTTTGCCCTGCCAAATGGTAGGTGTTTTGTATATATACAATGGAGAAATTTTAAGTGTGCTAAGGCACATGGAAGACCGATTTATTTGCACAAGGTACTGAGATTTTTTTTAAAGAAACAGTTATCTCAAGGTGAAGATCTAAATGTGAACAGTTTACTAATGCACTACTGAAGTTTAAATCTGTGGCACAATCATTGTAAACATGGGGTTTGTCTATGTTTCTCTAAATTGATTTCTGCGTTCTAATCTGTAATTACTGGAAAACTATTCCCATTTTCACCAAACTTAATTTCTGGTTTTTGGTTTATCCATTCAAATTTAAGATACCTCTAATTTTAATGCCAACAAAATTGGTTGTACTCAAATTTTAAATAATAATATAATTTGGCCCCCCCTTTTATACTAGTCTTGGCTCTTTGTGTGTGACTTGTTTGAATGTGTGTCTAGGAAATGGATTTTAACTTTTAACATTTTACTGGCTTAATGTCTTAGTATTATACTAATTGTCTTTCTCTGAAATTTAGAGGGTCCAATAATTTAATGCTATTACCTCTAAGGGGAGGAATTCCCCATTTTACAATGGAAATGGTTGTGGTCAAAAGTACAGCTGATTTAGTTTATAACAATGTATTTTTATATAAACTTTCATAAATACTATTTGACTTACCCTGCAAGTTCAGTGAAAGAAAATAACACTTGGTTTGGTTTACTAAATTTATATTTATTTTGAATGGTGGTTCTTGAACCAAAGCAAGCATAATTTACATTAAAATAGTAGATGGAAGATTTGGAACCTCCTGATGTTGGCTAAAAGATACAGTAGCTCTATGTATTGTTACTTTATTTTTTTTTTGTTACTTTAAAATTCAAACTTTGTTCTAAAATTCTAAAGTCCTAATTTACCCTGTATAGTTTTTAGTTCTACAAAGTGAAAGTTGATCTTGAAGCAAAAGGAAAAGATTTTTTAGTAATCAGGCATTGACATGAAAAGGGTGTTAACAGGGTATATATGATTTTCTGAAGGTGGAATATGAGAAAGGTGCTACTGTCCTTGCAAGAAAAGATGTAGAAGAGACTCCTGTCTTGCACATTTGGTTCATAGGAGGGTAGACTTTCAGGCTGTATAAAGGTGATTGTGTGGGCACAATGTTAGAATCGTTATTGATGAGCTGTTATTGAAGCCAGGAGGGTATGAAAACTAGAATAGACACAAAATCTAAGCTAGTTAACAGAACTGGCTGTAGTCTTGTTTACACAGCTCATTCATAACCCAGCCAACTATTCTTGGCCCTGGCTATAAAAAGCTTCATTCCTTTATGTATGTAGAGAAAGCTATACTTTAATAATATTATAATAAAGTTACATATAGCTAGCTTTAAAAATTAGAGAAGCTTTAACAAAATACAGTAAGCTTTCAACCTTGCAAAATTTTGTAAGATTTTTTAAAGATTTATTTATTTATGATAGGCAGAGACCCAGGAGGAGGGAGAAGCAGGCCCCATCCCGGGAGCCCGAGATGGGACTCGATCCCGGGACTCCAGGATTGTGCCCTGGGCCAAAGGCAGGCGCTAAACCGCTGAGCCACCCAGGGATCCCCTTGTAAGATTTTCTAAGTAAAAAGTAGTTAAATTTTATAAAGGAAATGTTCATAAAGAGGTTTTATGATTTTTTTGAGTGAACAAAATTGGCTAAATTACAGTAAAGATGATACAGTGAAAAGGTTAATTAGAAAAGCTGAATAGTTTTGTTTGGTGTTAAAAGATTTAGCAGCCTCAATCCCTTCGGACTACTGTAATAGTACTAAAGACTGGATAGCTTATAAATTTGCTTCATTGGTCAGGAAGTCCCAGGATCAAGGCACCTGCTGATGTAGTGTCTCCATTTCATGGCTCAGACATGGGGAGTCCTCATCAAGTCACATAACAGGAAGGTGGGGAGCTTTTTTTTTCATGAGACAGAGGCAGAGAAGCAGGCTCCATGCTGGGGGCCCAATGTGGTGCTCCATCCTGGGACTCTGGGATCACATAAACCTGGGCCGAAGGCAAATGCTTAATCCCTGAGCCACCCAGGCCTCCCTTGAGGGGGCTTTCTTGAGCCCCTTTTGTAAGCACATTAACCCATTCATGAGGGTTCTGCCTTTATGTCCTAATTCTACTTCCCCAGGGTTCCACCTTACAATCCCATTAATTGTAGGTTAGGTTTCAATATAATTCACACTTAGTGCAGGCCAATCTATTTACTTTTATTTTTTTCTACAAGTCTTGAAACATTTCCTCCAATGTTCATTTAACTGGTTCTGTGGGTTTATAAAGCAATTTTGCAGTCACCAGCTTCAGGTGTAAATTTTAACTCCTGGTAGAGGGGGCTCCTAATTGCAAAGGAGCGAAAAGTTTATATGTGAGTTAATTACATGCAATGGCACTTCATTATGGATCATCAGTATGTGGGGTATTCACTGAAATTACTTTTATTTTTTTAAGATTTCATTTATTCATAGGGAGAGAGAGGCAGGCATCATACAGAGAGCCTGCCGTGGGACTTGATCCAGGGTCTCCAGGATCACGCCCTGGGCTGCAGGCAGTGCTATACCGCTGTGCCACCGGGGCTGCCCTGAAATTACTTTTAGATAAATGTACAATACCTCAACTAGCACTGATAAAGTGAAATACTAAGGAACACCACAGAACTTTTATTTGCATTAATGCTTGGTGTACTAAGTATTTTAGTGTACCTGTAGGCAGATAAAGGAAAAGTAATAAAACATCAAATCACACTAAGATTGATAGGAACAGCTCTTTTCAAACTCGTTAAAATACAAATTTTAAGGTGGTTTATGTAATTAGTTAAAAGACTAGATAATGTATTAGGCAAGTATTTACATTTTCAGGACCAGCATTCAGGTTTTTAGGCATACCATTGACCTTTGAATCACATGGGTTCAAAACTGCTGGTCCACTTAGATGTGGATTTTTATAGTATAGTACTGTATTTTCATGAGTTTTCTCTAGCTCACTTTATTGTAAGAATACAGTATCTAATAGAAAATATGCTAGGTGACTTACAGGCTTCTGATCAACAGACTATTAATGGGGAAACAAATTATATGTGGATTTTTGACAGCACAGGAATTAGTACACCTAAACCCCATGTTATTCAGGGGTCAACTGAACTATGTAATCACCCCTTCACAATAATTGGTATATTTTAGTATAAAGCCATACAAATGTGGGACTTAAATGGGATCCAGTCATGCCACACTTGGGGGAAAACCATTTGTATTTCTCTTCAAACTATCTAAAAAACCCACGTTACTTTTGTCTTTACCTGCCCTCTTCTAAAAACCCTAAGTCAACTTCCAGCATTGAGAAGGAACAAAACCTAGGCTCTATTGCAGTGCTTATGCCTTTCAGCACTAGGCCCCAGAATGGACCTGGGGCAGGGGGACATGTGGCAACCCACCCAGGATGGTGAAATTAAGATTGTGAGGAGCTGTGGTAGGCTAGACTCTGCATGCACCCAGCTTATTCTCCAAAGTATTTAGATGTCAGGGAGAGGGTTTGGGTTGTCCTGGCTCAAAGCCACCCACCTCTGCCCTATCCCTGGTTTTAGAAATGTTGGGAAGAACCATATTAATGGCTTGAAATGACAAAAACGAGGGCTGCTTTTGAGACTAAAGCCTTCAAGAAGTATAAAGACAAATTTTGAGTGGGGACACCAGTTCTAGAAAGGAAGGGAAAGTTTAAAGAGGCAAAGGAACTTTTTTATGCTCATTTTGTATGAAGTTCCATTCCTGCATGTAGATGCAGATACCTTCTCAAATAATTGGGAAACGCATTTTAGCAGTTCAGACCATAATTTGAAAATTCCCTCAATATTTAGTCACCGATTTTTAGGGTTTTTTTCTAGTAATGTGTTGTAAATATTAAAACTAATGGGTTGCCTTAGAGCTGACCTCTTTCCCAGTCTGATTCCAGAAAATAGTTCATTCTTGCACAGGTTGGATAACATTTCTGTATAAGATTCAAAAAGTTCTAAAACAGAGTTCCTGTCTTTTGGAAAATAAAACCGTCAATAAAACTATCTCAGCCACTACTCCACAACCCTCCCCCCTTGTTTGACATTTCTCAGCTCCTTTGTGACATTTTGAGCAGCATGTCCATAATTTAATGTGTGGGGGTTTATGTGTGAGGTATGCTCAGGAAATACAAAGATAATGGCAGAGCTGAAAGTAGTAGCACAAGTGGCTGGGAAGAAATTACATGTGTAACTAAAATAAATACAAGCTGCATTCCCCTTCCCTACAACAAGTGCCTGAAGAGGTGAAAAAAGTAGTCACTGTTTCCCCCAGAAAGTAGTGACATTCGTGTGAGTAGGGGTTGTCTAGCTGCCCATCTGACACCTTAGAAGTAGTACTGAGTTGGGCCTTAAGGTTTTTGACATGTAAGGAAAAGGAAAATAATTGTCAGAGGTAAAAGTGCATAGACAGTGGTGTAAGATAGATGTGGAGTATCCAGTAGTTGAGGACAAGTACAAAGAAAGAACATAAAATATATTGAAAAGTGTACTGTGTTAATAACCTGGGGGTGAGTGTCCTAAGAGCTGCAACTTTATTCTGCAAGCATGGCAGCCATCCAAGGTTCATGAGCAAAGGAAAGAGATCCCTGCTTCAAAAAGAAAACAGGTGAAAATATGGAAAACAGCTTGGAAAGGGAAAACTGGAGGAAAAAGGGATTTGTCAGTTAATGAGATGAGCCTAAGGATATTATCAGAGCGAACACTGATTCCCTCTGATAGGCAAGGACTTACTTAAAGGTTTTGAAGGTAGAATTAAGAATTGAGCAACTGCATGGAGGGTAAGAAAGAGTTTTTAAATTGGGTAATTAGGGAAACAAACTAGCAATGAGGGAACTCTGGAGCGGGATCTGAATTATAGATGCCGTTTTGATTTGCATGTAGAATTTGCGTGTAGGACATCTACATGGAAATACACAGCAAGTAGAAGATAGGTCAGTGCTAGAAGTAGTTTGGTAATAGTGCACAGAAGCACTATATACAACATGAAAATGGAGCTGAAATATTTTGTCTTCCTGTAGCCTCTCTTCTCTCACAAGGCTTAACATCTTTACCAGTACTCTTGAGCTCATCCTTTCTGTCTCCTGGGGACTCTGGACTTCACCTATGACAGCAAATTAGTTGAATTAGTATTTCCTCTGGAGGCGCCTACCTGGCACAGATGCTTAAGTATTGGCTCTTGATTTGGGTTCAGCTCTTGATCGCAGTGTCCTGATCAAGCCTCCCCTGGAGCCCCACGTCTCCACTCAGTGCAGAGCCTACGTGAGATTCGCTCTCCTCCCTCTGTCCCTTCTGTTCATGCTCTCTCTCAAATAAATCTTAAAAAAAAAGAAAGGATTTCCTCTGAAACTGTTAAATGGTGATTGGTTCTCTACCTACCTGTAAAAGCCTGTTAGGA